TACTGTAATTTTGGTAAAAGGTAGACCTGTATTAGACCTTGTTACTCTCATTGCTTAGCTTATTTCAATATAATTACTGGTTACAAAAATTGGTAAATATTTAATGGAACTTAATCAAAAATGTAAGGGCCACCTCAGAATACATTAAACCGCACTAACAAAATTAATGAAATCGAAAACCAAATTCAACTTAAAAAGATGTGGTGAAAAATGTTCAAATATTTAGTCAGTGTTATAGTTGAAATCCTAAAGAACAGGTACTAGAACTTGTAGATCAACAGCTATGCATGTTTAAGAGACAACTTTAAAGACCTGTATTTAATACTTATATTTCTCGCTATAACAAAACTTACTTCCTGCAGTTTCAGGAATTTTTTCAACGAGACTTCGTCACAGTTCTCACTTTTTAGTGATTCATTATTTTATCTTACTTCTTATTTTCAGCAACTATTTTAGTGTTAGCTAAAGCTGTCGAATTTGATGAAGTAAAAATTACAGTTACTTTAAAATAAAGGCAAAACAAAATATTCTCATATCGCTATTACTAGGTCTTGTATCTAAGATTAGTTTTGATTACTTAGTTATACCAAAGGACTCGATGGGTATCTGCCTAAAGGGAGGGATCCCATCGTGGGGGACTTTCTCAGGGAAACTGACTCGTATACACGTTACACAGGAGGAAAATTGCGGAAGCGCCCATGCAGCCAGTCCGTTCACCGGGATTCAAACCCCGGACTGAACCAAAGCTGTTTCAAGCTTTGGGTCCTTACCGTAGTTCAGCTTTGGACTGAAATATGGTCAGAGACTTTATCGCTCGGCCACTGGTGGGCCTTGCAGCTAAGAAACAGCATGGAACTTGTGTCAAACGTATCTGAATTAATTCCAGCAGCTCACTGGGACATGCAAAATGTATAATTTACAAACTGCCTGGATGCCCAGTTATTACTAAATTACTAAAACAGCTATTTAATTTTATACCTAGCGGATTACTGTCATAAAGCTATCTTACATAGTTAACGAATTATAGACTTGCAATTAAACCTTGCAAAAGACAACTTAAATCCAACCAACGCTAAAACCTAATTTCTATGGCTAGGGGCTTACAAAAATTATTCCTGGCAAACGTAACCTAATTCCTGTTCATTAAATTAAGCTTCTTAGATTTCAGCGTCTGAATTAATTAATGTAAATTATGATTTATAATTTTCCGCTTTCATTCAAAACTCCATTTCAAGCATTTTATTAAAAATGATCCGGCTTTAAAGTATTTCAGTATTTTACTAATTTTTATTTTTGGGAACTGCTGTTTTCTGTTGCGAACTATGTAGGGGTGTTAATTTTTTAAATAACAAATCTGAATTTTCAAAATCAGATAAAATTAGTAGATGGGAGAAACATTTGCTGTCCATTTAAGAAATGTTTCTCCACCATAGCAAATGGAAAAAATATGTCCTTATTTGATGATTTCAATTAAGATTTAGATTGCATGTGAAGTTTAAGATAGGATGAAACATTATCAGAATAAGTATCTGCAATGCCTTGCATTAAAAAAGTTGAACCAGAAACATAGCCGACATTTTAATTTTCAACTAGGAAGAAGATGTTGGCGATACTTTTGGAGCGAAATAAATCAAATGGGCGATAAAAGGCCAAACTTTGGAACAAGTTCATTTAATATCTCGCTGCATGATCTAAACGGCGAGAAGAAGGGGGATTAAATCCGAGTCAAGGACTCTTTCTACCTGTTGAGTTCCCTGAACTACGGCGAAACTAGATTATTACTTGACCTGGATTTACTCGTTTCAAATATTTTTCAGTTTCAATTTTACCTCAGTTTATTTAAACATAGTCTGCCGAGTTATTTATTGCAAGGGGTTGGACATGGTCGAACTATTGTCCTCAAAATGAATGCCGAATATAAAATAATTCTTACAGTTGCGGATCTGCAGAACAGAATGCTGTTAATTTCAGAGATATATAGAAAATTAGTTCGAAGAAATAAAATCTGAGTTACATAGACATCGGGATGGAAGATAAATATTATAACCAAGCAGTGAAACGACAAGCATAACCAGGAAGACAGCTATTAAAATATTCTGTCAAAAAAAAAAAAAAAAAAAAAAAAACTGGAATAACATTTTTACGTGTTAGATTTTTGATTAGATTTTTAAAAAATACATATACTCCCGTTTAGCGAATATTTTGTTACTGAATTTTATTTTGCTAACATTCTACAAGATGCTTCTTCGAAAACATTTTATTTACCTAAACTACATTAATGTTACTCCGACAGAATTGGTCTTTGGTGTTCAAAAACAAAAAACAACAAAACAACAACAACAACAAAAAAAAAAATAAATAAATAAATAAATAAATAAAATAAAATAAAATAAATAAATAAATGCTTATAAAAGCATTTTTTAAAAAAAAATATGGCGGGTACTAGCCGTTTTGTTATGGGAACACCTAATAAGTGGCCATTACCTCCTATGAAGGGGCATACAATTTACATCTATGTCTTCTCCGAAATTCGAACTGGGCACTTCGGTACGGCAGTCAAAGTCATTAACCACTTTCCTGTCTGGAGGAAAGTAAGCAATAATAAGCAACCGCGATCGGCTTAATATGAATAAATTTACAGTTCTGCAGCAGCTGACGAAGAACGTTCTGCCTAGCTTTCTAAACAATAGTAATAGAAATTTACATAAGTTCTGCCGTCGTACGTACAATAATTTACTGAGTGGATTTCTGAGGCAGGATCAAGCAAAACAAGGCCTAATCAGCTCTGATGCATTTGTTATCAGCAATTCTGAAAGAAAAAAAAAGAAAAAAAAAAAAAAAAAAAGACAATCTGTGCACAGTGTTTAGGACACAGTCTTGTTTTTGCTCTGATCTTGAAACTGTATGGCTCTGTTCTCATGGTCTTTTGCTCCGTAGCAGGCTTTTTCAGTATTGCTTTGTTTTTCTATTTAAGATTTCTCTTTAATCCACTGACTACGAACAATATGGAAATTCTGTTTTGAAAACTTGTACTATGCCTTAATTAAAACGTTTATTCGACTTTTCTTGCAATGCCTTTATCAGACCTCCTTTATGCATGGTATTTATTATGGGAAGAATTAAATATATAAAAGTTCATCAAACTTTTCGCTAATAAAGTCTATAAAACATGCAGTTATTACACCATGTTACTAGAGTATGAAGACCTACTTCTAAAATGGAAAATTCGTTAATTCTATGCAGATGAAATAACAAAAGGCATTTACGTACAAACAAGCGCGAATGTCATTTCTAGTGAAGATTTGACGACACCGGTAAAAGATCACATGAAAGTGAAAATGATCCATTAAGTGCAAGTAAAATAATAATAATGATATGAAGGGTTCCATATTTTTAACGATTGCCCAAAAGGGTTTGTTAAGGTTTTTTACGCTCTCGCTGAGCTCGTATTCTACCAGTTTGCTCTTGCACTCACTCCTGCTACCCTCTTTTTTTGTTTTTTCAACTTTCTTATTAAGTATCGATTTCTTCGCACTTCCGCCACATACAGTTCAATGACAAAATCGCAAAAATATTAAAAGCTACATATCAGCATATGTTTAGAATTACCGATGCAGTGTTAAGTGTTAGCATAACACTATTTTATTTTTTTCAGTCTTTTCTCAGTTCATCATATCGGTGTTTCGTTTTCTTAGTACGTTCGCTTGCAAAACTTTTTTTTTGTCTTTTTATTATTAATTTGTGTATTTATTATATTTATTAAATATCATGTTCTTTCCAGTTACGCCCCATAAAATCCAATTCAATAGCGAAATCACAAAATATTTTTAAAAAGCATAGCTTTACAACTTCCAATAGACAGTTTCACGCCTTGGAGATAATAATGTTTTATGCCGCACAGTGTTGTCACTCCTCGCTTTCAAATCGCTGAGCTTGTTAATTAAAAATTCAATAAAGTTTTACAAAGTATGGAAGAAATAATAAAAAAAAAATATAACGTCATTTTAAGAAAATATTGAATATTTTTAATTAGATAGATCATGAATTAAAATGCATTTTTATTATTTAAATCCATCCGATTCAAAAGTAAGAAATGCAGAGCTGCATCTATTGCTTATTGCATTTATTATCCTGAGTGAGATGCAATCAAGATAAAAAAAATCTCGAAAATTATTTTGCACCTCATGGTGTGACAAAACAGAAATATGTTTTACGCAAAGAAATAATACAAGCATCTAATAGGATCCTTCATGAAACAAGTAAAAACTGTATCTATGAACAACGAAATATTAAATAGACACCAAAGCATTATTAAAAACCAATTGGTATTTCAAAATAAAATAATTAGAATATATATAAAGAAACGCAAAATGCATGACAGAGACCGACAACATGGTGGGACCGCCGAGAATGCCGCACAATCTGGGGTGGATTCCTTGCTGGGCCGGTTCCCAAGGCGGGGTGCTGAATGCCTGTGATGGATGTTGTACTAGAGCAGTAATGCGACGGTACTATTTTTCACACGCGCCTGCAAATCTTGCCTGTAAATTCACAGGCGGAGTTTTGGCACTCCAAATACAATTCCCTGTCTCTATCTGCACGTGTAAACGAGCCAGTTCCCTTAGAACATCCTCCATGAAGCCATCCTTCTTCTGCACGTGTAAACGAGCCAGTTCCCTCAGAACATCCTCCATGAAGCCATCCCTCTTCTTAGGCAGAAAGCCCTAGAGTGTTTTCTCGTAATCAACCAAACTCTACCTGCACTCTCAAGAAAATAAATTTTTTAAACAGAAAAGAGCACTTTCATAAAATAACAGGCTTTCATGCCGGCGTATTTTTATGCGAAAACATGTTTGCTCGCTTTATTAGTCACAGAGCAAATTAAAATATTACTTGCATAGCGGTACCCCGAAATAATGATGTACAATGTAAGAAGGTACTGGTGAAAAAAAAAAGTCGTTGAACAAATAGTATCAAAGATTACAAAACTATGTGAATACTTACTGAATAACATCTGTCCTTCTGGCTTTCATGGTTTTCATGTACATCGTAAGAGCAACGATAGCCATCAGTACGATGACGGCACATGCACAGCCTACGCCAATGTAAAAAGAGCTACTGGTGGCAACCATGGCGTCTGCTGAAAGCACAATATAGACTTAAAAGTACGGAACAAATGGCAAACAAGATAACACAAGAATAGGTTTCAATACTTTCTTTATTTACTTTGTGTAGCAAAAAACGGAGAGTATGTTGACTTTAAAACATAGCGTCTTTATCTACTTAGAGTAGCAAGCATCAGAATGGAAATAAAAACAATAAACTGCATTGATAGTGAAAAGAATAGTCCTGGTAATAATAATACTTTCTTTTGAGTAATGTTATTTCTAGTTGAACCAGTCAAGGTGCATATGACAGTGCGACATACAGTTCACTTCTTTCTATTCATTTAGATGAGAAGATGAACATATTACCAAAACTTCAAGCGTCCTAAATGTGTTAATATTTAGGATTCTTGAGGCTTGTATATGAGGAATAAACATAGAAAGAAATGATATTTTACGTAACTAACTGAAGTAAAAAAATTATGTTTTTTTAAACCAGAAAAATAATTTTTTCACATATTTCAGAAAATGAGAACATATAGCTTTCGTACGCTATATGTTCATACGCTAAACGTTTGAACTATTTTACATTTCATTTTATCTGTAGCATGCATAGTTTACATGTGGTCTCATTAACGCTGAAAATAATAAATAGTATAATGTTCTGATGCAAAATATTACTGCCACTGAAGCCAGTTTTGTGCCAGATCATGTGAAAAAAAGCAAATTCAGAAGTATAATTAATTTACATTCGCATAACTTTTTGAAAACTGAAATATATCGTCCATTTGACAAATGTATCATTTAATTATCCACGTAATGAATGAATATGAAATACAAACTTCTTTCCGTTACACATGTGCCCAATTTCCAACTACAAAAAAGTATTTTTTCATAATAAAAATATTTATTAAATATTTTATCGACGATTCTAAAAATCATCATACTATTGGTTGACAATTTCATTTTTACATATTTGCTTTCTTTCTTCTGTGGCATCAGGAAAAATTATTTTTCTTGTAGTAAATATGTTTATATGATAATATTTTAATTTTACATATGCTTGGGCGCATTACTTATTAACACTAAGCAAATTAATTTTGTAAAGCACATAATATAGAACAACTTTTATTACATAACAAGCTCAAAAATATTCAAATTTCATATTCAATAATCATACAGAATTTATACGAGGCTTGAAGAGGCTAATAGCACTATAAGCAATAAAATAAGCAGAAAGCACAGAACAGGTAATGAACACGTAAAATATGAATGACATAACGACTAAATTAAAATCCTATCATGATTAAATAAAGCAGAAAGTTTAGAAGTAAATGATAATTTAGATTACAATATTTTCTGACAAAACAACTTAAACAAACAGAATTGAATATTTAAACACTCAATAATTAATTTAAAAAAAGTTTCTTATTTACTAATGATCTACCGCCTCTTAAACATGCATTATTATTTTACACTTCTGGAAATTAACGACGTTTTTTAGTGAACACTTTTGTACACAGGCAGAGTGAGTTCCATTGAAATTCTTTCAAAAAAAAACACACCTGTTTGAAGTAGATACTCTTGATGTATTTTTATTTAATTACAAATAAAAATTGCACTTAGAAGGGGAAAAAAGACAAGAAAAAAAAAGTAACCTATTTATTACAAACGGAAAATGGGATTGGTTGTTAAAGAAAATGAAAAATATCGCCAGGTTACATCTAAATCAACAGCTGCTACACGCGAGATGGGCTGCAAAATATCGAAGAAGACATTGACACAGAAGATGTCGATGACGATGACACATCTCATCACGCATATGTACTGAACACCTGTCGTTCTCTAGGATTATCGGAATAAATCTAACCTGACGGCGAAATCAATTTCATTTTAAAATGGTGGATGGTTCAGTTATCAATTCTCTTGTGACATTAGAAGATAACGCCACATTTTTCTAGACATTTTCTCCTTGTCAAACTTTTAACAATGATCTCTCTGTCATGGCTATGTTAGTAAGCCGTAGCATTGGCCTTCCACATTATAAACTGTCATATTTGTCATATTCGCAATTACAGTTTAATAACATAAGACAATTAATTTACCATGATAAATAGATAGAAAACTATCTGTTTAAAGGAAGATTAGCTTCACTGTTTACTTTGTAATTTTAAGAATATGATTATAGTATGAGATTTCTTACATCTAAACTCACAAATTTCAGATAGCTAGAATGAAGCTTAATGAATAAAGATCAAGTCTCTTTCTGCCATGCCTATCTCGAAATTTCTCTTAAGAGTTTAAGAGTAAAACGTAATAAATATTGATCGACTGCAGGAATTTTACTCAAACTATCAATAAAAACCGGATCATAAACAAAAGTAAATAAAAATAGAACTAATATTCATTTCTTAAGAGCTACTACTTAAAACTTGTTAATACTTATATCATGACTAAATGCTGAAAGTCAGGCATTTATAAATAAATAATATTCATATTATGCGTGACAAAAATTATAAAACTCTACAGCCGTTCAGAGTTACTATTTGAGTATCAAATGCCAGACGAAATACTGTTAGTTATAAGGTTTATCGACTTGGTCATTTGAATGTCGTTAGTTATAAATAAATATCTTCCGACTTTTGCACAAATACATTCATATATACGCAACAGCACATCTGTGCACACACACAGACAGGGCTCTGGCGTTATGCATTTTGGGCGCCAGGTACAATCTCTTCGGATCCCAAATTCTCCCTAAATTATAAAATTTCTGCCAACTGATGCTTGATGCCTTCTACAAAATTTAAAATTTTATTCCCAAATTTTGCTACTAGTTATCTCTCTAATTTCTAAAAACATTATTGTTCCTAAATTGCGCCGCCCTGTGCGACCGCATCTCGAAATTCTTATTATATAGTTTGCCATTAAAATTTTACATCCTTTTAACCTTAGACTAAATAACAAATTGCACCTAGAAAAATAGCCTCAGTATTTAAAGCCGAAATCTACAAGAACAAGAGCTAAGATCTAACATTTATTTAATATCTATAATTTTACAAGGAAAACCGACCTTTTGAACCCAAACGTTTACGCATACTCCAGAAAGTCTGCACGAACGTCGAAACACTCAGATACTTTTTTTTTTTTTTTTTTTTTTAATCTATGCCCCGCTTAATAACAGATGCAAAATTAGAGCCCCAACTTGAGTAATAACCATTGTCAAAATTTCTGCTTGCATTTGCCGTTAATATTAATTAAGAAGTCTCATTTTGTAAGATAAATAGCGGTTTCTTAAATAAGCTGAATCACTTTAATTGATATTAATGCCAAACAAAAGAAGAATGTTCACAATTATTAATAGGCAGGGCCGTCTATTATTAAAGTTCAGCATTTTCGAACACTCTATACCCGTGCGTATTCATTAGAAAATGAAGAAATTTCGGCAGTATCTTAACAAGGCGATGGGAAAGAAGTTAAGGGGAAAATAAAAATTACCCACTAGACGGTGCACTGCTGCTTTATTAAAAATTTGACTTTAAACTATTGTATTGATTAGTGTAATCATAGTAAAACGTACTTAATATGAGAGTCACCATCATCAGTTCCCATCTGAATTTTTAAGATAGGCAAGCATATGATGGGCTGTGCTTTTTTTCAGATCCGTTAAAGACGTTATATTTTGTTACAGCAGACCATCAATACAAGTCTTCAAACACACCCACAGTCAAAAGCCATATAGATTCTAATCTTGGAATCGAGCCCATCATATCTTAGTGAAATGGCGAATGATGATTTTTCTAATGGAAAAGGTTTTTCAAGCAGATATTTAATGCAGTGCAGTTTAGCTATGTGGGAAATAGCACTATCGCCCTGTAAGAAAGCTGTTGTTCCAAAGTGCTGACGTGATTGTAGGGCCAGAAATGGAACAGCGATGCATACAGCTGCTTGTTGACGGGTCTTGTTACGAGTCCTGTAGCAATGAGTTTTATGCAGGGGAAAAAATAACTTCGAGAATGAATGATGCAGGAAGCCCACATCATAATTTACTTCATGTGAGCATAATGGAACTTCAAGGAAAGAATGGGGATATTCTGCAACTCAGATTCCACAGTTATGTGTGTGTCCTTCAAGTAAAAATGTGCCTTGTCCGTCCACTATTCCAATGTTATTCGCTGTTGACCTTACGCAGAACTATACTAAGAAGATCTGGCATATAACTAAATCAAAAGATAGGTCCTGCTGGGTAAACGAAAGTTTGGCGGGATAATAACGTAGGTTGCTGCGGAGAATTTTGTGGTCTGTGGTAAAAGCCTAATTTAATACTTACGCGATATGCCCTAGTGCTAAGTGGTAGAGTTTAATTTCCTATCTTCTTCCAGTTTTTCCGTTATATTCGTCCCTTCTTTTGTATAAGTCCTCTTCCAGACTTAATAATCATGTTCCTTTGGAATTCCTGTCGTTTTCCCTTATCAATGACTGCCTTTTCCCAGAGATCTTTCCATCTTTGCAAAGCATCTAATGCAAAATTACTATTATGATTAAAGTATTCTTGTGAATACATCATTGGAAAAAAATAACCAGGGCTTATCGCCTTAGAGGTAAACGGAGCGTGTGCTCCGGACCTCCAAATCATTGTATAATATTTACGTACAGTTTTATGTACAGAAGCAGAACCCATTAGATAATATAATTTCTTTCACATTAATTGATTTTTTTAAAATCCTACAGTTAACTCACATCATGGAATAATAATCAATTTAAATGTATTAACCCGTGCACCTTCATTAAAATTTAAAACTAATATCCATAAAAGTTCTTTGAAATATATCCTTTTCTTAAATTTCTTTTATGAAAAAAATTGCGGTTTAAAATGTATAATTTTATATCACATGCAATACAAATTAAACTGAAATCTTGAAAAGGACCTGCTTAAAAAAGGGAAAGTGTACATTTTTGTTTAAATAACTTTGAATTATATTATTACATTGCAAGCATATTTTACGAAACACCTTTTATGTCGCATTATTTGCATCAGTTACATCTACTGCGATGAAAAATTAAACGGTGTGGCATCCGGAATTTCCGGAATATGTATAGTTTTGCCCTGGATCTCTGGTTTTGTAAATCGGCCTTGGAAATGAAGACGGAAGCTGTTCTGCTGAAGAGGTCTAAATATGCACTAGCTTAGCCCGTCTGCTCGTTCCATGGAGCGCAACAGATCGTGTGGTTGATAAAATTAGCATATGTACTATATTGCGCATAGAGAAACTCTCTGTGTGAAATATATTGATGAACTTTAAGATCATTTTTTTTTTGTTCTTAATTTTTTTCCCATCACTTTATTAACGAGCTTCTAAAATTTCATAGCTATTTGATGAAATATGTATAACTGTAGTTACTTTAATAATAGGTAGCCATTATACTGCCCAAACAGACTTCTCAAAGAAATTAAAAAAATATCATAGCATTTTAGGAGGACATAAAATGCTATGATATTTCGTAAATTTTTGTTTCGTAAACTTGTAATATAAGCATAAATATATGCAGATTTTTTTCACCAGTGAACTGTAAATTGTAGTACCTAACTTAAGATTCCAAGTATCAGTACACGTATGCTAAAAGTTAGTTTAAGACGATACAAAACTTTTGCAAAAGCAAGTAATGCGAAAATGATTGTGTTTCATATAATCGCATACAAATATAAAGTCAAAATATGACTCACCGATCATGAGTGTGCCGTTACTGCCATCATCTGAAATAAAAGAAAAATAAATACAAGTTAAATAACCTAGAAAAGAAAACATTCCAAATAAAGCTTCTCATTATACACTCGAAATCAAATTATTGAAATTTAAAGCGATATGAAAGTATTAAGCTTATTCTGAGATAATAAAAAACGAACCATTGTACTTGTGTTATTGTTTTTGTTTAACGTCTTACGGATTATGTATAGAGTCACAATTTTAGTTTACATTTCGTATTTCTGTAATGACCATGATTATAACCATAACAACAGTGTAAGAATTTTGTAAAAGTGGTCCGCATTTTACTGACTTCTGAAACCTAACATATTAACAAATATGCTCTTAGAATTGATAATATTATCATTTATCTAACTAAAAGGTCTAACTAAAAGGGAATTGATTATATTATCATTTATCTAACTAAATGGATTTCTAATATCTAGAGGGGGGGAAAGACGTCAAGACACTTTAAAAAATTAAGTTACCGGTAATTAAGCTTATTTACTTCAATTCTTTTAATACGTTCGAACGCACTTGTGAAATTAGTGAATAAAATATTAGAGATTGGTTCTAACTATGCTAACAATGTAGTGTACTGAGGAACTCCAAAGCTTTAACATAGTGACATCGTGCAGAAATAGTTCATTTTCAGAAAGGTAATACTCGCGAAGCATTTTCTCAAAGTATTTGCAAAAATTGCGAAATAGTATTTGCGAAAAGATACTTTTTTGTTTATACGTAAATTACGTGCGCGATATAGCTTTAAAATACCTGAAACGAAACGAACTGCATTTCTCTGTAAAGAAGTGACCTTAAATCAATTTTAAAATAAAATGTTGACGATTCTTTTCGTAATGTTGGATTTACCGACTTAAAGCTTCTTTTATTCAAAATACCGCGTAACGACGTTTTCTAAAAAGATTTCTTGAATGATTTTTTGAAGTACTATTGAAATAAAATAATCTTTTGAACACGAGATATGCTTCCTATTATTTAAAGCACTAAATCCGAGAATATTGTTAGCTATAAAAACAATAATTTCAAGAGGGAATTTAAAGAATTTTCTGCTAATGCAGAAAACAAAGTGCATTTGTCTTTCCAAGAAAGCAAAACAGAATGTAAATGATAATAATAATAATAATAATAATAATAATAATAATAATAAACATTTAGCCATTAAACTATTTTACACCCGTTTTGTGCAAAAATTAAAATGCAAAAAATGAATTAAGGTTAGTCATCGATAACTAAAAGCACGGAGTAACTTGACGGCAAGATTTTCTATTTATCGATCCGTAAGTCTGCTAATATTAACGATTGCTTATTTAGGTGAGGAACAAAAAGGAATTAGCAACAAGTTTTCCTTTTTTAAATGCTGTTAGCAGAGATCAGGAGCTATATGAAGCGATAACAAAAGTACCTACATGATCTGAAAGTGAAGGGACTTAAAATTATCCATGCCGCCTTATTCAAGGAGAAATGTTAAAATTTAAAGGGGAAGTTAAAAAAAAACGTGGACAAGAATTAGTAAATAATGTTTTGTTCACAAAAAGGATGCATTTATACCACACATTTCTTAATGACGAGCAAAAAAAAAATACATATAATTCTGTGCGTGTTGAATTTTATTACTAAACATTCAGAGAGGTACTAAATGTTAGAGAGGCTTCGTACATAGCTTTAAAAGTTTTCAATTTAATCGCTTCTTCTACAGTACACACTCTCTAATAATAATAATAAAAAAAAAGGTTTGTAAATTCTTTGACCTGCAAGCATTATGTAATCATAAAACTACAAAACTGTCTAATAATAGAAACGTACTCTTCATATAATTCATTCATTACTTAACGATTCATTGATAATTCCAGAAAAGAAAGAAGAGAGTAATAAATCTAGCCTATCAAAATATAGTAATATAATGGTAAAAATTAATGAAGCACAAGTTTCATAAAATATCACTTCATTTCTTTCTCTCATCCATTCCTATGACGATTTCTATATATGTATACATTTAAAAAATAATAATAATAAAAACTTTTGAAACAAAATTACCAGAGAAAAATGCTTTCAGAAATGTAGTACGAATTCTGTAGATTTTCAATAATATTTATAAATAGCAACATCTATTTTCTTCAACGAATTAATTCGCTTGTGATATTTTGTTGCATGACATCAATCGATTAATCGGTTTATCGATAACTGAATTCGCTCACAACGACTATGGGAACAGCTGATGGAGAAACGTGGAAAGAATTAGGAAAGGGGAGTACTGCTGTAAAGAAAACGAACAGTGGCAGAAATAAATAAAATATTAGAAAGGAAGGGAAAAAAATCTATTCTCGTAAATATTGATGTCCCAATGTTCACGCATCCCAGAAAATTAAATTGCAGCTAAAACTCGTTTGCAGTGATAAAATGATTTTCGATAGTTTAAGAGCAGAGTTTAGTTGTTTAGGAGCTTTCAAATACGACATCCAGTTTCAAAATCATTTTTCATTCCTTTACAACTTTATTGAGATGAATTATTGGCGGTGATGTGTTTTTTATTTCATTTCTTGTCTTCAGTTCTTTTACAACTTGAAAGAAAAATGATTGTGGTCCACTGTAAGGGTAAAACAATACCATTTTTCTTTATTTTTTCGACCATCGATTAACATTTCTTTTCACTTCAATGAGAATGTTACGCTGTTTAAGTTTTATCTCAATATCTGTATGTTTTTCTTATAACATTCTATAGAAGAAGAAATAAACAAAAAAGAAACAAACTTTTTTTTTTTATTTATTTTATTCCTCTGATATTATTGCCATCTAAATACATAAAAATTTAAAGCACAAATTCCATAAAATCTCATTAAAGAAAACGAACAGGAACTAAATCTTGCATACATTACAATATTTTATACATTATCATCAAGCAACAAGGTCTTTTATTGCACCAAGCTGTTTAGAATTGATGGAATGTTTTACAACATACATGATGTTGTGTCTCGAGCGTTTTCTTCATAGACTATCTATCCATACTGATACGCGAATTTTGATTTTAAATGCAATTTACGTTCAGTCTTTGGCTTAGCTTTATGTATATCAAAAGATGAGGAACACAGTATTTTCGAAACGTATATTTGCCATCGTGTAATAACTTAAACATTTAATCTTATAATGCCTACAGAATTTGATAACAAAGTGTATTAAACTGAAATGGTTTTTGAAAAAATTATTTATATTAATGTGCTTTAAAAACTTATTTTCGAGAAACATTTCATTAAAATAAAAATTCCAATGCTTAAAAACCTATTCGTAGGTGAGTTTTAAAAGTCACATCAAAATTAACCCAAAAAGGAAATGGAAAAGCATGATTAACGAAAAGTAAATTTCTCAGATCAGCAATGTTAAATTAACCATAAAAGTGAATATTTAAAAAATTACTTTTGATGCAGGGATTTATAGTTGTTTTCGCATGAATCGTTAATCAAATTGATGGCGGAGAAGGCTAAGCATGTCAATAATGACTCAACAAATCTTATTTCACTTAGTTATACCAATCCCTATTTGGGTAGGTAGAAACTCAAAGAAAACTCAAATAAAATAAAGATCTGCGATTGAAATTAAGTAGGGATACAGCTCAAATTATTAAAAAATCGAGATCATAAGAGAAAAAAATATAATCAGATGCCGCAAGTCAGAATACAGTGTAACTGCAGAAATTATCTTAATCCAAAATATATTTATTCCAGCTCTATAATATTTTAAAACTTTGAATTTTCATCATATTAGACTATTGATAAAGATTCGCATGAAAAAATAAGTTTAGAAGAATTCCCTGAAGTATTAGAGCTGTCAACAGCTCATATTACTCTTCGAAGGCCAGGACTTCAGCTAACTAATCTTTAACTTAACTGAACAGTCTATTCTCTCAAAGGATTTGAGAGGCAATGACTCTTTTTTTCAACTTCATTAACTGAGTTTATGAGTCACATATAGAGACAAAAGAAAGTGAATAATTAACGAATTAATAAAAGAAAAAGCAAATGACTTAACAGAATAACCTATACCGTAGAGTATAAAATAATGAAATCCAGTTGAGTATCAAAGCTGATAAAAACATTTTATCTGAGTGTCAGATACTTCTGAATCATCTTGCATAATATTTTTATAAGAAATTTAGATTCATTGCAATGCTATTGCGAGCAATCAAGTACAGTTCACACTCTCATCCGTGAAGATTACTCATTCAGTATAGTCAAGAACCGAGAACAAATTTAGTTAAGAATTTATTATGTAAATCATTAACGAAAAAAATATATATATATATATATATATATATATATCATTGTTGAAAAGGTTAGAAGTACTAAGAAAAATATAAGCAGAAAGAACGAGTTAATAACACAAAACGATCACATAGCCATGCATAGAAGGAAATTGTGTTTGATTAAGACAAGTCACGCAATAGATCTACAACCATTTTATCAGAAAGTCGTTGTATCAGAAATTATCAGAAAGGGTTTTATCAGAAAGGGATGCATGAGGAAGACAATTTATGGCACGATGTAAGGTCTTATTTATAGTGTATCGTTTTAAAGGCCACCTTGATTCGCAGTCCTCCCTTCCATGGAATTCATTTGAAGCCACCATACATTCTTCATGGACCACTGAAAACTCCCAAGGTGTCTTCCAGGAAGAATTTGCCTACGCCTGTCTCAGCAAATGCAAGCCTAGCCACTTTTCGTCCCCCTCCTCCCGTAAGAAGAAGTCCTAACTAAATATTTATTGCCCTCATAATTCAGGTCTGCGCTCAGAGACTCTCTGGTATATATTTTGTCCTGTCTTTTTTTTATTTTTTTCGTCCTCTGCTTCGTGCAAAAGGACATTTTTATCTACTACTAGGTGTACCCGCCCGGCGTTGCCCGTGCATTTAGAAAATGCAGATAAGTGAATAGCGCAGGAATAGTAGTGTAGGACATGTAGACTGTCTCTCTCTCTTTCCCCCCCCCACAAGCTACAAAAA